TACTACCAATTCTGAATTATTAATATTGTGAATTATCGCTATATTTTGAAATATTGAAATAAAAATCTAAATAGATAATCTAAAAAAAAATAGTCAAAATGCAAAACAAAACAGGAGAAAACAGAGATGTTCAATTAATTAAAGGTTGTATAAAACCTAAATCTAAACTATTATTTTTTTTGATGAAAATTTATATTTAAGTAGGTTTTTATTACAAAGAAGAGAAAAAAATATTCCGAATATACGTACATAAATTAATTACGTATGTGTATACCTTTAAGATTGTTACATAAGGATAATAGTTTTCTATCGATCGTGTCAGATGATGTTTTTGAGAGATTTGTTGATTCATCTATGTTTTTCGGTCAGTCGAGATTATTGTTGTTTATTGTAAGCTTCGGCAAGTTTCGAGCGGAATAAATTTGTTTGTGTTTTTGATTTTCGACGTTTATTTTCTGTAATAACCCTTGTTTTTATAATATAATACTAATTGCAAGATGCATGCTTGTCGCCCATGCGTAAGTACATCTCTGGTTTTTGCTATTTACGCGTGGACTACTCTGATTTTTCCTTTGTACGGCAAAATAACCAAGCTGTAATATCTCTGGGACTAAGCGTATTATTGCTTTCTTTTTTCGAATGACGTTGACATTTGTCTATAAAGTTGTATAGCTATCTTAATATCTATGAAAATGTGACATATCTCGTTTTTCCCGTGTAGTCTTCATTTGTCCACACTCCATTTATTGCTGTGAAAACGATTTAGGTATGTCGCCAATATTGAAGTTATTAATGTAAATTTGATATTACATAATCTATTATTGTTTTACCGTTTTAAATTATCAGCAATTAACTCGAAAAACACTACGATCCGGAAATAAATCGGACATACGCTATACAGTAACATTATTTGCGCAGTCGTTTTTTGCGCCTCGGCCAGTGTAAACAAGGCTGGCCCAGGCTGGCCAATGTTTGGCAAGTGTACGATTAATCGTTTGACTCGGGCTATATTTACCGACAGAGAGTGGGGACGCGACAAGTGACCAAGGAACCCGTTCTCACGACATGGCAAGTATATTCCAATATCAAATGTTTGTCAAGTACGCCAGTCGTGAGAATCCGCCTTGACTCGGGCTATATTTACCGGCAGAGAGTGGGGACGCGACAAGTGACCAAGGAACCCGTTCTCACGACATGGCAAGTATATTCCAATATCAAATGTTTGTCAAGTACGCCAGTCGTGAGAATCCGCCATAAGAAATAATACAGCAAAATGAATTCCGAGAAATAACAAAAAAAAAACATTTTAAAAAATGTGTATCACGTGCTACCCTCTCTTGTCTTTTTGTGATGAATTATTAAAGTTTCCTGTCCGTCCAAACGTTGCACCGAGTCGCGGGTATAAACGTTTTTTGTCGATTTTTCAATAAAGTTCGAGGTTCTCCGGCCGGCCATAATTTAAAACGTGCCGCTCCGGAAAATAAACCTCAAGAAATAATTTACGTGGTGCAATGCGACTTGCTGCTCTGCGAATAAAGTAATTTATTGGGAATTTATTTATTCGATACAAAAATATATCGAGCTCGGAGATATGTATAATTTTATCTCTGGTTGGGACATAAGATTGGATTTTATTATTTCTCATAAATTTATTTGTTTCAAAATATACTGTTTAAGGATTTAGGAAACGATGGGACTTGTTGTTTAGCGAATAAACTACTTTATGCGGAAGTACTATTTATAGTTTTATTTTGGCTTACATTCATGGCCTACATTACATAGTTTATGTTTCTTTTCTCACATGTTCTCTTTAGATTTATTTATTTCTCATCAATAGATTTTACTGCAAAATATAAAGGGCAAAATAAAACACTAATTCACCACAATACACCAAAACACTATACTTTTGCACAGTATTCGCTAACGATATTAGCATCATCAGCAAAGGATTTTAATCATATTTTAATCATCTGCTGATGATACCAAAAGTAAAAAAGATACAAATCTATAAAAAATAATAAAATATGTTACAGTTGGGGGTTTTGGTGTTAAAACAGCAAAATAAAACCCTAATTCACCACAATACACCAAAACACTTCAATTTCTAACCTTCTTTTGAATACCAAATTATGATTACGCAACACAAACAAAATTATGTATACACATTGATTTCAAAAATATCAAATTAGAAACTTCTAAATTTTGAAACGAACGTATGCAAATGGAAATTCCAAAAATTGAGGTTAGTTAATTGACATAATTTGCTAAACATTTTCTGTCAATAATTTGTTCTAGCAACGGTATCAATCACTTTTCCTAAAATACTTTATTATTGTATTACTAATTACTTTAATCCGTTTAAATATTTATTAAATTTATTTTTTTGGATTTTTAAGGTTCCGTACCCAAAGGGTAAAAACGGGAACCCCATTACTAAGACTTCGCTGTCCGTCCGTCCGTCCGTCTGTCTGTCACAAAGGTCTATCTTATGAACTGCTATAGCCAGACAGTTGAAATTTTTACAGATAATGTATCTATGTTGCCGCTATAAGAACAAATACTAAAAACAGAATTAAATAAATGTTTATAAATAAAAAAGTATTTTCACTAAACATTATCTTTTAAGTAAGAATTTTACATTGAATCTTTCAAGTCCTCGGTGGCCGCGTGGTTAAAGCGTTAGGAATTTACGCTGCTATGACGTTGGAGCCGTAGTAAGGCAGGTTCGAATCCTAGTCAAGGTGACTTTTTTTAATCGTTTTACATATTTTTACATATTTATTTTTACTTTTTACATATTTATTATTGATTAATACAATTTATGTCTTTCTTCATTTTTTTTAATTACTTATACGCGTATTCAAAATTTCAGCTAAATCGGATAAAAATTTATAATAATATAGTGTCTAATGTTGTATAGATAACGAATGGTACGAAACCCTTCGTGCGCGAGTCCGACTCGCAGTTGACCAATTTTTATTTAAGTTTAACTGTCCCTTTGTTAAAAGTACCTATACCCGGAGAAAAAAGTTTATTATACTTCTTAATGCAATTTTTTTATTTGAATATTGGATTAATAAAATCATAATTTTAAAATATACGGTATGCACTTTCTTATAATGTTTAATTTATGAGGGAAAATATTAAAGTCTTTATTGGGTACGGAAAATTCACAAGATTAAAATCTGAGAAAAAAAGTTACTGGTAAAAGAAAACCTTTGTTTATATATGTTAGTTTAATTAAATAAGTATTTAAACTTAATCCATTATATTAAAATAGGTTTTTTTTTCAAATGTCACAAAAGTATTAATTGCAAACTGATAGAAAATATAAGGTTTGTTCCAACCCGCCGCAGAACCGTCACCGAATGATCACGTTCGTGCGCAGTAATTTAAATGTGTTCCAACCGAGATTTGACGGTTATCGGACGATCCTATTTGCGTACCAACCTACCTTGGGATAGTTTAGTTAGATTTCAGAATGGTAATTTCGGTACATGGTCCAAATTGAGAACTGTTTGGGTTGACTGGCGCATTAAAGCATATTGGCAGGGATTATCGATTTTTAACAGTTGATTCTGGTCCGGCGTCCGGTTGATGCTTCTGTCTTGGTTATTTTTTACAAATTCGAATACGTGTGCGTTATACTTTTGCTTGTGAGTTTGTGTGGAGTAAATCGTTCGGAAATTTTAATTAATTTTTTATTTATAAAATAATGTTCAAATATTCTACTACTGCAATCAAATAACAGGAAACTACGCATAACAGGATCATAAAAGAGAGGATGGGTAAGTGAGTTAGTGAGTATACAGTTGACACTTACCAACAATTACTGGACTCTGATTCTCCATTTCAAGAATAATAATTATTATTATTGTAAATTGCAAACAAAAATAATAGGGTTATGTTATGAAATTCTAAACAAAAACAAAAAGCCTATCGATACACTTTTAACAGCCCCGAAAACAATCCACAAAGCGTTCCAACGTTGATACTTTTTGCATCGTCACGAAATTATTTGAAGTCCGCGCATGTTAACAAAGTGCAAGAAAACCGATTCGAGTACGATTTCGAAACGATCCCGAAATGCTGGTTGGAACAAACCTATAAAAAAGTTATTTTAACGGCTAAACATAAAAGTAAAGAACCTTTAAACTTAAGTTGCGCTTAAGTATAAAAGTATGAAAATATAATATTATCAAACTGACATAAAGTGTCAAATTCAACGAGCCTAACCATAGTTTCTCGAGACATAATTACTTACATTTAGGTAGGTTAATCTCTTAAAGTCTTAAATCTTTTTATATTATTTGAAACCTTTAAAACTGTCGCAAACAAATTATTTGTGACATTTGAAAATAAAATGGATGTTCTATTCGGAGTAAAAATGACTTTTTGTGCATCGTCACAAAAAATATCATTTTTACTCCTAATGAAACAATATACTATTATCCTATTTTATCTGAGGGCAACGACCTAGCTACGTTGAAACACCGGTTCCCATTAGAACACCGAAGTTAAGCAACGTAAGGCGATACTGGTGGATGGATGGGTGACCGGTTCGAAACTCTGTATCGTGCTGTTGTCCAAGGGAGAAGTGTAAAATCTATTGATACACACTGCTCATTCACGCCGGTTCGAGGCCGGATGAGATCGAATATCTCGTGAGTAAGAGTTAATTTAGACACTTCCTTCGGTAGGCCTCTGACCATGATATGGCCGAAGACCGGGGTTCGGATTCCGCGTAAGCAAAGTACGCCCCGTCCAGATTAGCCCTGGCAGCAAAAAGGAGACGTTAATTAAAATCTTTACTTCACTTTATTTTATCTGATATTTTATTTAAGCTTCACCTTACTTTAATCTTATTACATAGATAATAGCTTCTGTTTTATTTTGCCGAAAAATTATCTTTAAGCGGCTAAATATCCTAGTAGATTATTTTTTTTAGAAATATGTGGTGAAATTCAGTTTATTTTTTTAATCAAACACAAAATACTTACCAAAGCATCTAAGTGATCCTTCGGTGAAACGAATATCCTGCCATTAATCGATAGTGCAGTTGGTATGCTAATGTCGTTGTCTTTAAACACAACTCTTTCTCCGTTTGATTTTACTTCGACCAAAAGTAATTCTTCTTCTCTAATTTTCAATTTGTCTGCTGCTAGCAGCTTAATTGTTTCAGCTGTCGTATCAACCGGCAATCGCAACGTGCAGTAAGTGTGATCGGCACAATAAACTCTGAAAATAACTGACATAAAAAATAAATTAAATATTTCATTGTACAGATTCAATAAAGTAGTTATTATTAAAAAAAGAATTGACAAAAAAAATTAACCTGTTGATAAGAATACCTAATAGAAGTGAAAATAGAATAGCAGTAGAATAGAACCAGAGAGTGTTCTATATATTATAGTCTCCGGAGAGTGTTCTATTGTGGTTCTAGTCTCTTACGCTCAAGAATCGGTCCCCTGTATATCAATCTTACTCAATGCCTCGTATGGGTATTTTTTTATTATAAATTTAACAAAAAAATATCCAGGTTCATACTTAGTAATAAAGTTGTTTATGGTATAACTAACTCCCAAATGCTTGGGTTGCGACGTCGCGAGTATATTACCAAAGGCCACCTTTGGCACCTTACTTTTTTCTTTACTTCCACTAAAATTAATATTGTCACTAAAATTAACTAAATTAAAAATAATTATATACAAGAAAGCGATCCGCCAACAAAAAATACAACTAAAATTACTTTTGTCAAATAAAAATCACCCCCACCCTCCATTCTAAAGAAAGGACGTGACCTCACCTGGCCCCATCATAGAAAACAAAGAAAAATTGCGAAACGGGAAACGTGCAGGTACTTACTGTCGTCCTGCGGCATTATTATCGTCCTGTTGGTGTCGTTGCCGGCGCTGAACAGGCTTATCGGCTGTCCCAGGGGGGGCAGCTTCCATTTCTGGCCCTCGTGCGCCTTCCGGTCCTCTTGATATCTCGTAAATAAGTTAATGGATAAGTATATTTCGTACGGTAACGGGGCAGAAGGTATTAAGGTGGCTGTAGGGCTTTGGAGATGGTGTGTTGGTAAATTATTACTGAAAATTTTATGAGCGCGGTAGGTGCATAGAGAGGAGTCTTCTAACCATTAAAAGTTTGTAACATGTTAAACAAATTTATGCATTTTTATATGCAAAATTAATGGACAATCAATTAATCATTTATTTGATTTATTTGTTTACTTACATCTTACAAACACCTATTAAGGCAACTACAACAAAAGGCCAAAAATACAAAATATATACTGTTTTTTTTTGTCAGGTAAGATTTCGACAGACGATGACAGAAGAAAAGCAGATAACGTTTTTTACTAAAAAAAGTTTCTAATATTTTTTAAGTTAACTATGGATGGGTTTAAATATAAATCCGTCATACGTCGTCTCTTGTCGTTTTGAACCAGTTTTATTGGTTTATTGCAAAAATTACAGATCATATTTCAATTTTATTGGTTTGACGCTTGTTTGACGCAACGATGAACGACAAATGGACGCCGATGCGTATGAACACATGCACCCTTAGATTTTGAGGCTTGGCAAAGTCTTGCCAAATTATAGGTTATATTTTGTGTCAACTTATGTGAAATACCCTGCGTTTTGGAAGGTGATGCATTTTGATTCGTGTTATTACGTGTGTTTTGTGTCTTTTGAATTGGAGGAAAAATTGAGGGAACATTAACTGTAGACCCAGAGCACAGTTTACAGTTAATACTCGCTGCCCAGGTAGGAAGTCTTATACACCCCAATAAAGTTACCATCAATAAAGTTTGTATACCATCACGTCGCAGATTAGTGCATCTCGTATATTATGGCACAAAATATACACTAAAAACTGGAGTAGCTGTAAAATATTGACATCACACGATAGGTAAATAATGAATTTTAGTACTGCAGAAAAATAATGTCAAAAGGTACTGGTTTAAAAAAATTAAGATTTAAGTTAATTAATCATCCTTGGTAAAAATTTGGTAAGTTTTATTATTAATAAAATAGTTTGTTCTATTTATGCTGTTTATTTATTCCTGTGGAATATTAAAAAATTTTATTTGTTATATTGATAAATATAATAATAAATGCGGGAAATTTCTTGAAGCTTGAAAGTAAGAAATTGTTCATTTTTATATTTTTTTGGTATTTGGTGTTTTGTTCTTGTTTTTTTTTGTATTAACACATACCGTTTTTTTAAATAAAATAACTCGATTAGATTTTTTCAGTTTTATACATTTTTTTTTCAGAATATTTTGAAGTAATCACTTGTCACTCAAATTTTAAATATTATAATAATATATTAATTTCCTGCTATGCGTTCCAATTGTACCAACTTATTTCTTTGTAAAATAAAATAAACTACTTTAAAATTAAAATGACAGACACATCTATTACTGTCAAGGATCTTGTCGTTGGACAGACTATAGTCATAGATAAATGCAACAAGTTTAGTTTGGAAAGCCCGTACAAATTTTAGGTCGCGAAATTATTTTGGGTCGCGACCGTTATACGCGATCTGGCGCTGCTATAGCGGTCGCTAAGAACAACGGCAAACAAAAACAGAAATAATTTTCTCTTGTCAAAGTCAGAATCTTAAAAAATCATAATAATCTTTCAAAATCTAAGCCGCTCTCATTAAAGAAATTCCGAAAAGTGTTTATAGCGTCCATTTTCAAAGTAATTATTGCTATCTTGTAAGTTTAATTCAAGTTTTATTTACTCCAACCGGTGATAATTGTGAAAAAGTGGCATTAAAAACTTAAAAAGCTGTGCTGTGAACTGTGAACTGCAAAAACCATCGTGGATCGTGGCATAACGTCGGTTTCCAATGTTTCATAGGTATTTCATACATGCGTCCTTATAAAATAAATGCGTCCTATATAAAATAAAGTTTCTTGTATGCAACACACTGTATTTTATTTATAAAATTAAACGAAAATAATAATAAATTTGAATAAACAACATTTGGCGATATAATTCCGGAAAAAGCCGAACCGCTCCGAAATTTTCAAAAGTTTTGGGTCGCGACCGTTGCAAGAATAGCGCCAAATAGTGTTTACATTGTCCTTATAGGCACTTTCCACTCTAAACTTGTTTCATTTATCTATGACTATAGTTACAATTGCTTAAAATTAGACGAAATAAACATGTATTATAAAAATATGTAAAAATAATATTTTTATATTCATTTTTAAAGAAAACCTAAAAACAACAGAGCTAAAAATCTTGCTCGGCAATATCATCTCACAGCATTCTGTCACAATTCCTGAGACCTTTTGTTTTTTTGGCTTAATATTGAAGAAATCGATACTGTTCTTAATTTTGAATACATTATTACAAATCTGATACATATTTAAAAGAACTGATGATCTACAACGCTCGATGTAGAAAATATCTGAGTGTTATAGACATACAGGGTGTTTCAAAAAACATGTGCCATCTCTCGTGGGGAGATTCCTCACCTAAAAATAAAATTTACTTTTCATATCAACATATGTCCGATTTTGCTTTGTTTCGTAACTACAGGGTGTTAAAGTCTTAATAATTTTTCGATTTGTTATAATTTTCTTCCAAGTACTTTTAGTGATTCGAATAAAATTTTGAGGCTAAAAGTTACTATAATTGCTACATATTTTAATGGTAAAAAAGTGTCGATAAATTCATCAGGGACGTGTACATGGGTTATCACTGGAATATTTTTCAAAAAAATGTGTGCGCCACTGATTTTTTTTATTCTGACATCAAAATTGTGTAGGCCGTTTAATGCCAATCAAAAGTGATCTCTTGATATTTTGTCGAATTCGGCCCTCTTGATGAGATAAACGCATTTTTTTTCATCACAATTAATAAAATTAAAATAAAAATAAAATTAATAAATTATATATTTTACCTAATTTATTATTAAATAATATTACTATTAGTTATTATTACTATTAGTCCAACCTACAGCAATTTCAAATAAAAAATAATGGTATTTAAAATAATTACAAAAAAACTAATTTTAAAAAGTTTTAACATCCTGCAACTCTAAAACTATGCATTTCCATACCCATGTTTATAGGAACTTCTTTATATTTTTTGATGAGGAATTAATGAGTACTTATTTTAAGCTCTCGCAAGTTAATGATATTAAACTTTTTTAAAAGTTGCTATTAGACAAATTAATAAAATTATTACGTTTATTTTATCAAGGAGGCCGAAATCGACAAAATATCAAGAGACAACTTTTAATCGGCATTAAACTGCTGACACTATTTCGCTAACAAAAGAAAAAAGTCAGTGGCGTACATGCTTTTTTAGAAAAAATATTCCAGTGATAACCCATATGCACGTCATTGGTGAATATGACGATACTTTTTTAGCCTTAATTAAAAGTATAATAAATCGAAAAAATATTAACACTTTAACACCCTGTAACTACGAAACAAAGCAGAATCGGACCTATGTTGATATGAAAAATAAATCTTATTTTTACGTGAGGAATGTCCCCACGAACGATGTCACATGTTTTTTGAAACACCCTGTAGATATTTGATTTCGGAACTCTAAAATTTATGAAATTAATCATATAACTTTCCCTGTATCTAATGTTGTTCACGATATACCGCACAAACAAAAGGGAAAATATTTTTCTGCCAGTGATACAAAGTTGTATGTCTCAACCAAGCATTGAATGTGAACATTTCAAACTCTCTGCCATTTGTTATATTAAAACTTAACACTTTATAGGCCAAATTAATAGAAAGGTAATGATCATTAAATTTCAAGTTCGTTTGAAAAGAAACACCCAGATCCCTAACTTCCGATTTTCTGTCTTAAAAGTATCAACGCTATAATCAATAGTGATAACATTTATTTTACGTGCATACGACACTACTGAACACTTATCTATAAGCGATACCCAATTAAACTTTTAGTTACGTAATCGAGGACCCAATTTTTAAATTCATTGTTAGCAACTAAGGATATATTCGGCGTCCGGCTTACTAACCGGAACTAAATTTCTCGCTGGGGTTTCAGGTGGTAGCTCTGCTGTAAAAAATATCAATTTGCCACATTTATTTATTTCCAGACATTGTCAAACCGAAGTTTGACACTTTAGTTTTGTATTCTGAGTTTTTGATTTAATTGAATTGTGTTGTGATACTTTAAGCTTAAAAATTTAGTTTTTTATTTCAGAACAAGCGCAGTTCAAATATAGTTCTCTGTTCTTGTTCTTTCCTTTGTTTCCTTACACTATGTTAATATTTTGCTAATTTTCATAAAGGAATAACTGTAAAAGTCCCTAAAAAAGCCGATAAACTATATATCTCAAATTCAAAATAATAGATTTATAATTCTCTTATTTTAATAAAAGAGATAAGTAAGAATGACATAGCAAAAGAGAACCTTGATATACCGATTCCGACAGACTAGAGCCTATAACGAATTATTAATTTACACACAATCGGAAAATCCAAATCCCTGCGAAACGAGATTTTCCGTCTGAGGATGAACAATTCAAATTTGCCAAATTTACCCGCTCGGCTTTACATGTCGACTTTCCTTTTCAGACGCATAAATATTATTCTCGGCAATTTCTCTTTATAGAAGGATCTATCTATCTATTCTGTCACTCGGAGAGCTTTTGTAAAGGCGGATTTATAGGAAAAATGGGAGTAAAAGGAAATTTAATGGATAGTTTTAACACTGTCGCTTTCAGATATTTTTCGTTTGATTGACTTTTGTCTTTTTACTTCAATTTTTTTATATTATGATCAGCTTGTAGATTGTAGGGGATAGGGGAGAAGTTAATCACCGCGACCTTATAGATCTATTGTTTCCCCTTTTGTATCTGAGACGGTTTTGCAAAGGTTAGTTCTCCATCTCCGATATCAACCGTACCAAAGTTTATGGCACAAATGGTTGTCTTCTCTGCGCACAGTCATGCAGGTGTTAGAATACTACTACAA